TAACAGCTGGTAAAGACACACGGTCGGGTGTTTATCGTGTTCAACATCCGGCTCCATCATGAAAATGTGGTCGGTTGCACACGTTCAAACGCTTGTCGGACAAATTTATTCATTCGTACCTAGTTTACAATGGACAACAGTGGCCTGGATGGCCTAGACTAGTTAGACTAATCTTTTCAATGTTTGGTAAATAAGCATTAGTCAAAAGAGAATTATTTTCCTCGATTTCGGTCATGACTAAAACATATCTGCTATTAGGATCTGTTCGTTTTTTTTTGTTTTGATAATTAAGTTTGCTCCCGATTTGTATTACAGCCCCTCTACTCCACGATGAGTCGTGTGACATAATCATAGAAGCCTTCCTTCTCTGGGACAATGCCAGTTGTTCATAGCAGCTTTCGTTCTATGTGTTTCTTGAATAAAAAGACACGCCCCTATCTCAATCGTGATTAGAAATCCATTTAAGTAATTGTATAGTTTTCTCATATTCCCCCTAAGCCTCTTACATTTTAAAAGGGAAAGTATTTGAAAATTAAATCCATTTCTTCGAGATTATATATTTTATATAGTTTGAGATCTACTAAAATGCAGGTTCTAATCGTATTGATGATTTTGGTCTTTTTTTTACTATTTCTAGTATTATTTTTAGTTGTAAAGATAGTAAGTGTTATTTGGTATTTGGCAAGGTTTTTCAAGGAGTCTGTTACATGAGAAGAAATAACATTTCTTGTTTTTGAAGGCCTATAAAAATCCATTAGTGAAATCAAATAATATCTAAAAAAATAAATAAAATATCGAGAGTAAAGTTCAGGTATTTTTATTAGTGAAGTAATTTTCCATTGCAAATTTCAGTCACCTATTGCAAATTCCAATCACCTAACCTTACATGTTAAGTTATGACTGTGGAAGTTGTCAACAAGATAAAATTATGGAATGCATTTGCTGCAAAGAAATTCCTGAAGTTGATTGCAAGCATTGAGGCTGTAGAAGTTGAATGCTTACCTTTATTACCATGGTCCTTATTACGGCCCGTGGAAAGCCTTGTGAAGCAATGCATTTTGATAAATGGCTAAACAAGGGAGCAACGATCCCAGTGCTCCAGTTGTCTGTGACGCAGACTCAGTTTTCGAAAAATATTGAGAAATATTGACATTTTATAGTTATTTTCAGAAGCATACTGCGAAAAAAAAAAATATTAACAGGTAATAGTAAAAACAGCAAGAAAAACTTCCAAGAAATGCACAGTTAATCGAGAATTTTCATTTACTAGGCAAATCAATTAGGTTGTATTTTTAAAAATGCCACAATCGATAGATGTGTATGCCAATATTTTGAAGAATATTCCATCACCACTAATTTCTATGGT